CCCCCCCGAACACAGACACGAAAACAAAGTGCTCAGCTCAGATGTGATTCATAAACCGTTTGTTCACGTGTCCGCACAACAAGGCAGGGAAAAACGGCAACAGCACCACGGTGCCAGCATTGATGCTGGCCAGACCGGGCCGTTGAGGAGAACGGGGATGCGCGCGACGCGACCGGCTGAAGAGAGGCCGGCACGGCCATAAGGCTTCTCTGTCGCGGAGTACCGATGTCTCCACCAATCGTATCCCTTTTTCTCATTCCGCTTCTTCCTCTTCCGCCGCCTGCTGGTCCTCCTCCTGACATCTCGACCCCCCAGTGTCCCCATTTCTCACTCCTCCTCCTCCTCGTCACAATCCTCCTTCTCCATTTGCTGCTGCTCCTGCTGATGTGTCGACCTCCAATACGTCCCCCTTTTTCACTCCCCCTCCTCTTCCGCGGCCCGCTGCTCCAGGTGCTGAACGTGGTTCTCCGAGCTTCGCCAGGGGTGGGGCGTGAAGAGTCCCTCCTTTGTGAAGGTCTGCCAAAGAGGGCGCGAAAGCAGTCATGAGGGGCACAAGTGGGCAAAGGCGAAGGGGGGGGGGGGCTCATGAACCGGGGGCTCCGTGTAGGACGGGCGCAGGGGAGGGAGCCGGTAGAGACTCCTGGATCCGGTGGTCCGATCCAACAGCACCAGTTAATCAATCGATCTGGAGCCTGCTTCGGCAACACGCGACCGTCAGCAAGCACCGCCAGTCAAAATGAAGCGATATATAAGGTACGGTATATGCTGCAAGCACTTCTTCTCGGAGGTCCTCGCTGCGGCCACCGCCACCGCACTCGCAGCGAGTAGCGTCCACGCATGGTCTAACATACCACGTAGTACTGTGATGTGCCCTATCATACCCTAAACGAGGCCGTAGGACAGCCCGTGAGTCGCTGCGCCTCCCAAAAGTATACGCAGGCACGACGGCTCCCCGCCCCTCCCCCTCGTCCAGCAGCAAGAAAAAAACACTCGCGGCCGGCATGATCGAGCGTTTGGCCAACTTTCAAAAGCCAAATAGTACAGTACCGCGTGGGCACCTGCAAACCCCTCCCGGGCGCCCCAAAAAACAAAAACGGGTCACGATAGCATCAGACCGAGGGCAAACGGGCGGGGGGGGGGGGGGCNGGGGGGGGGGGGGGGGGGGGGGGGGGGGCTGCTTCGCACCCTCCGCGGCTAGCTAGCTAGACAGCTATCACCGTGCCATCTCCGCCGTCCGCCAGCAGCCCGAGCTTCAGCTGCTGAGGAGGCAGCGGCGTGGTGATGGTGGTGGTGGCAGCCTTCACAGCGGCAGCACCACCACTGGGGTTCGCAAGGCTGCTGGGGGATGACAAAAAAAAAAAACGTGCGTGAAGAGGGCAGGGCACGGAGTCAGAGGGGGGGAGGGCATAGTCTGAAGACAGACAAAAAAAGCGAAACGCGGCGATATCGGAAATAAATTGCACAAGGTTGACGAACCTACGCGCGAGTTAGGGATGGCGGAGAGTGTGCGATGGTGGTGCCACAGGTGCTACGAGTCTTGTCGATTTCGAACTACTGTTTCTGGTAAGTGAAAGCACCAGAAAAAAACAAAATTATGTCAATTCGCTGCTGTCTTCCGTATGCAAGGAAGTAAGCACAAGGTGCCGAACACTCTTCTCAGGAGGATGCAGCGCACCCTCCATGCGAATCGCCGAACACCTCACGGCGGTTTGCGCTTGGTGATGTGAGAGCCTGGTCCGGTGAGAACCCGGCGTGCTACGTCCCGGCTTCGGAGGGATATGCGAGGCCAATGGTCTAACGACTACGGCATGCACGACATTGAGTTTGAGAGCACCCCCCCTTCTCCTTCTCTCTCCTTCTCTCTCCTTCTCTCTCCTTCTCTCTCCTTCTCTCTGTCTCTCTCTCTCTCTCTGTCTCTCTCTCTCGCTCGCTCGCTCTCACATACACACACCGACAAGCTTGCCCTCCGCGATTCTCGACGGTGTTGAGACAGCCCTCGCACTTGCACCCTGCCCCACAGAGCAACGACTTCTGGAAGCAGACGCAGTACCTGGGTGGCGAGCGCAAAAAATTGAAAGTAATTTGAGCAGTCAAGAGGTGAAGAGAGAGACACTACCTGCCCCCCTCGTGCGGCCAGAAAGGTGAAGAGAGAGACACTACCTGCCCCCCTCGTGCGGCCAGAAAGTGTTGAAAGGTTGAACGGGGTTGTCCATGAAAAAAGCAAAAAAAAAAGTTCAAGGGATACAAAACGCCTGGCGCGGTTGAGGCCTACTAGCACGCCCAAACGATCCGCGCGAGGCAAGCGACGAGAGGCACTACGCGCTACCGTAAACACAAGGCCCTGCCCTCGACCAGCCCAACACCGGGACCAACCTTCGGCTTGAACGTCGGCACGAAAGGCACCTTCACGAAGACGACAAGGGGAATTAAAAAACAGCAGCAAGCAGCCCACTTGTCTTCCGGCTGAACGTGGCTGCCGGGCCAGGCGCCGCCTCAAAAAACACGGTACAACATCGGCACCTACAGGGTGATGCTGCCTGCCGCAACGAAAGCAAGCCATCAAAAAAACTCAAACCTGCACTACCGTCCAGCAGCGCCGTGCCGCTTGCAGCAACGAAAAAGCAGGCGATGAGAAGTGCGACCGTAGACACAAAACCACAACTATCTACCGTAGAGGAGCTCACTTCTTGAGGCAGTGCGACCTGGTGCAGCCGCAGCCGGCGCCGCTCGTGACCGACCCCGGGCGCGTCTCCAGGTTGTGAGCGCGGTGGAAAGCATCCGGGTTGCGCTCCAGGACAGCCCTGGCGTCAAGGTCAGTCAGTCATTCGTCACAAGCAACAACGCCAACACCGGCATCCATGTCGGGGGGCGCGAGTGGCGCATGTGAACACGTCAAGACAAGGGGGCGGCACGGCGAGTCACGCGACACGCATGAACGGGGAAGGCGGCACCACTGACACACACATATCACGGCGTGTGAGAGGCCATATTCGCGTACACACACACACACACACACACAGAAAGAGCGTGTCCCGCCTACAGTCGGAACTCTTCTTATCGGTCAGCCGGTTAGCGCGGTCGACGGCAAGTAACACAACACACAGAAACGAACAGACAGCCTCCCCCATCACCCTCGGTCACGGGGTCCCAGATTGTGGTCTTTAGACGCATTTTGTGCTTTCAACTGCACTGAGACTGGCGTCTTTTCGTTGGCGATGCTAAACAACAAAACACACACACGAACACACAGGAGGCGCGCATGCACACTCTCACGCGCCGCCTGCGCATGCATGTAGCCAACTTACAGCTGCCGGGGCTTGCGTGAACACTACAGCCGGTGGGGACGGGTTTCACACCAGAAGCGAGGGCGCATGGTCTCGGACATGGAACAAATATGGGACAGACTTTCACACATAAAGCTGATACAGACAAGTCTCACCATGGAACTAATATAGGACTGATTTTCACACGTGAAGCTGACACAGAAAGGTCTCAACACACATGGAAACTCGAATATGGGATCCATTCGCACATGAAGCTGATACACAAAAGGCCCCACACACGAAACTGCTGCGCAGAAAAGGTCATTACACACCAAACTGATAGTACACAGAAAAGTGTTTTGTCCACATGAAGCTGGAAGGCAAGTTTGTGCGTCTCACCGGCGGGCCGCCTGTACGACAGCTGCCCCAGGACGGTTACAGCACTGCTTGCACAGGCACGACGACCCGCAGAACCGGCTTTGGGCGAAGCAGTCGCAGTATAGCTTCAGGCACCTTGTTGTATCGGCAGTCGGGGAGGTCGGGTAAGGAGGCATGGTTTGCAGCGAGCATTGCGAGTAGAGTGCGATAGACAGGCATATGATTTAGATTGCGATCCAAGATATGGCATCAGGGACCGTGGATCCGTTTCGAAGGTGGTATGGGGGGCAAGGGTTCCGCAGCAGCAGGGTGTGCGAGCGTTGGATTCTAATACGGGACAGAGACGGACGGTATGACGGCGTTGTTCGACGAGGGCCAGTTGAGGAAGGACATGAGACCACACCGACCTATTCGGAGGCTCCTTTTTCGTCAGCACGAATGCAACGAAGGTTTCCGAGAAAAGAAGGCGTGTTCTACCCGTTTGCGTCTCTACACCGTTCGCAACAGTTAAACCATAAAAAATGACAAGCTCAGACTAATGCAGAAACATCATTGCCCTTTGTTTGTGGGCTCAAATAGAAAAATCAAGCTAATCAAACAACCCCCTACCCCCCCCCCCCAAAAAAAAAAA